TCAGAAGACAGAGCTGCCGAGATGCAGAGGTAGAGAGAAAACTGTTGAATGTCTTTAGAAACTTTGTAAATAGATGAGTCCTTGGAGTCATAACAAATATATGGAACAACAACAACAGCAACAACAGCAACAGCTATGTGCATTTCTGAGTGCCAAGCTGCCAAGAAACGGGTGTGTAATTCCACGGGTGATAGGAAGGCTAAGAGGCAGAATTTCAGTGTGTGACTTTTACCGCCTTCCCTCCCTTACTAATGACGACCTAGCTAGGTCCGAACCACGCTCGCTGGGCTGCTGTGCAGCACTATCCCCATCATGCTTTTCTTGAATCCATCGATAACTTCTACTAAACAAGACAGACCTGTCTACGCCACGGAATTGTCTTCCATGGCTGCATGACAGGTGCCCAAACACCCAAGTGGTCCCGAGACTTCATAGGCTTGTATTGCTCAGCACAGATGTTGTAGGCCAGCATGATCAGTTAAAACACAATTAGAAGCCAAAGATGATTACTTACTCTTATGAATTTCTCTCATCACATGCAAAAATAAATTTCACACTTAGGATATAGATAGATCAACAATGAATTTTTCCAGAAAATATGAAAAATTCATTTGCAAAATGCTTAAGTAAATTTCTACATACTATATATTGCCGAGACAGGAAGGAAATAGTCTTGATCAATAACTGTATTAGGAGAGAAAGAAGAAATCCAGACTGTGATCTATGATAGTCAGGACTCCAGTCTCATGGTCATTATCCATTGTGATATTATCCACACTTGTTTCTTTATTTAAATCTTAGGTTAAAACCAATTAAAATGACCTACAATGTTTTAGAGACTTGAAGTATTTTAGGATTGAGATATTTAATTGAACATATTTTGTGACTGACGTTCAGAAGTCTCCTCCCCTTGTCCCTGTAACACACAGTGCACTCTGCAAGAGCAGCAAACCATCGAAGTGAGCATTTTCTTATGTCACCACAACAAAAACTTATTTTGACTGCCTGCCATGGAAGTAAAGCAATATACCGCAACTGGGAGGGGATCCAGGATTTATCTTACTCTGTTAAAGATTGGAAAACAGTCATCTTCATGGAGATGTAATGAATATTAACCTCTCAAACATCTACCATGATCAAGGAACCTTTTACCCCCACCAGAAGCTAACTTATTTTTACTTTCAACAGAGATTCTGAAAGAATTTATATAGAACTGAGCCACGGGAAGGTTTGGAAAGCAAATAGAGGAAGATCAGGTGAGAATTATTCAAATAACTTAGGTCTTCAGCCACCGGAAACCATCTGAAGCTGGGGCCTGCAATCTCAGGTAGTCTGAGGCCAGCCTGTTCTACAGAGTGAGTTCCAGGACAGCCAGGGCTACACAGAGAAACCCTGTCTTGAAAAACAAAAATCAAAACAAAACAAAAAAGACAATCTCCTAATGCAAAGACATCAACCCAGTTTCCATGATAATAGCAATTCTTCCCAAGACTGGTAAGAATGGGGTTCTTCAGAGTAGGGGTGCTCTCCCCTGACCCCTTTACCCTGCATCTTGAAAATCTAGAACCACCAATACCTGGCTCATCTTTTCCCAGTCAAAGAATCGGTGAACAAATGATATCATGAAATAAAGCAGTTATGCGAGAGACATTACAGTGGTGTTAACACAGGTAAAGAGATGGCTGGTGCAAGGCTACGCGTCTTTAATCTAGAAATAGACCACAGAAATGACAAGCATTAGATCACTGCCCAAAGGATGTTAACGGCGATTTCACAGCTGTTAACTAGCATGGAGTCTGCAGCACAAATCTGACCTCACTCCCTTTCATGAGAGCAGTTCCACAGACACTGGCAATCCTCAGCCTTCCCAGGCCCCTCACAAGTTCAGGGGTTCTGATGTTCAAATCACTAAACAGTTCTCAGAACTCCAGAGAGTATTGCACTTCCCCTCAATTTCCTTATAAAAGGCACACATTCAGACCAGCCCCCCAAAAAAGCCTATAGGTAGATTTGGGAGGGTTGTGAGGTACTCTTATTATTTAGGAAATTTCAAGGATTTAGAGGCTCCCTGCCAGGCACTGAGGATAATGGCCAATCCAATTTCTTATTATACAAGGCCTTAATGAGAATTCTGACCTGTTAAATCTTACTAACATAATTTACAGTTCTTGGAAAGATTCTGCTGTTATTCTTCTGTATTAAGCCAAAAGAAGAGCAATGTAACAGCCAAGGTCTCAATTTCCCAGTATGTCTTTGGTTAACTGAAACATATTTATTGACTGCCTATATAAGACAAGGGCATAATGTGAACACAGCTGTAGAAATAGTCTATCCACATCTAGCGTAAAACAGATAATCTACATGGAAATGTCACAAATGATCCTGACATATTTGTTGCATACATTTTTTACTTAAAACTTCATCAGTTACTGTCTTTATCAGATCGGGCTATCATGAAACTTCTCTCAGTTCTGGAGGCTCAAGTCCAAGGTCTGCTGAAGGCCTTCTTCTGGGCTTCAGGTGGTCAGTTTATTGCACCTTCATGGGCTGAAATAAGGGAAGGTTTTCTGAGGTCTCTTAACAAGGACAACAGTCCCATTCACGAGTGTTGTCGCTATAGTTTAACACTTTCCCAAAGGTTCCACCTCCTAGACCACTGCTTTGGAGGCCAGGATTCAACATATTTGGGAGAGGGCAAACTTCAGCCATAGCATTCATCATATCAACGTGGGTACTTAAATATTCATAGCGGAGCACAATGGACTGAAAAATGCTCTGGAGTATGAAAACAGGCTCTGAAACCCACTCAAGGCACTGCAGTAGTGTGATCTAGAGCTACTGAGTACTAGGTCAGCCTTTGTGGCTGTGAAAGGTGACACAAGACACTGACCAGAGTCTAGGACCAGACTGCTTCAAAGGCAGCTCCTGTTACATGAGCTAGCCACATTCAGGAGCATCAACCACTCCCACACAGCTTCCTTACTTGTAGAAGGATGATACTTACCCTCAGTGACGCAGTTAGGATAAAACAAGCCATCACATCTAACAGTCCCTGGCACCCGACACACACTGAAACATCTACAATTATATTTTTAATTCCCTTATCTCAGTGGTTGGAATAAAATAAAGATATTAGAAAACTTGGCTCAAAATATACATTCCAGATCGTCTTCTTAACAAACTTTGTTTTGTTACTTTAGACTGTTCATTCATATAAATGAGGCGAAGTTTATCTTCATCTGATGGGGAAGAAGGGGAGGCAGTGCAATGGCTGCAAGGGACAAGTGGTGACTTTAAATAATGCTGAACTCTGAAAATCAAGGCTGGGACGCTAAGCTGGCAGCAGGCAAAGGGTACTATCTAAGGGCAGTCAGAGGGCAGAAGGATGCTTGAATAAGCCAGGGTGACTGTTTACTAGGGACTGGGAAAGCCAATGAGCCTGAAGCACAAATGCTACCATCCCAGCAGCTCAAGACAGCACAATGAAGCACAGACTCACATTCAGGAGGAGAGAACTATAAAACCACCACCACCACCACAGTATTTGATGAATAAAATGCAAGCACAGCTCCTTAGCTCAGCCACTCCCATGATCGCAGGCTCTGCCGGACCCACAAGCAGAGAACAGGTTAAGTATCCCTTCGGATATAATAGAATTCAAGAGTAATCCTAACAAAATATGACGTCACCTATAGCATAAACACTAAGGGTTTTAATCATATTGATTATGCTGAAAATGAAGAGTAACAGCTTCTATACACACATGCACTCGTGTAAATATGTGTGCATGTACACACACACACACACACAGAGTGAGCAGATGCATATAGCAATTACAAAAATCAATGTTGAAAGGCACCAAATCTGACTCAAAACTACCCAAGCAATATGGCCATGGTCTGAATGTTTATTTACCCTATAGTCGCCTGTAAAAAATCCTATCTCCCTAGTGGCAGCCTTAGGAGATTGAGTCACAAAAGACCCCATGATGGGATTAGAATGGAACACTGGAGGACACAGCGAGAAGATGACATCTATAAAGTAGGAGGCAGCCTTGCAGGTTTGCTAGCACCTTAAATGTGGACTTTGTAGCATCCAGAACTGCTGGGAAGAAATCTCAGTATGTCTAAACTATCCAGACCATGAGATTTTACTAGTCTCAGAAGCAATGCTGTCCAGGTCTGCCAGATCTACTCAGGCTTCTTAAATGCACTCCACTTCATCTCAACCCTTCAAATCAAATTTCATCATTATAGGACGAATTAGGGTAATTTTTTTAACTTAAGATGTTAACTTCTGCCCTTCAATTAAGAAATTCAAATTAAAGCCAAACTTCATGGCACACTAGAACTCTAGCATACTTCTCTTAAGCACTTCACCCTGTGCATACAGACAAGGATGCTTTAAAAATATTTTTACATTATGAGTGAAAAATCCAAGTTTTAAAGTGCACGTTAAGGCTTCCCATCTCCATTTCCTTCGGTAACAAATTTTATTAAAACATCATTTAAAAAAAATCACAGGATAATTTTATTTATAAATGAATTCTATTTTCTCTAGACTTTAAATCATCGGTTCACTCTTATAACAGAGAAGCAATTTAAATAACACCACCAAAACGGAACGGAGACGAAACAGTGTGCTACTACACAGCACCGCGCTGCATGTGGGAAGGATTTCCAATCCGTCTTGCACCACGGTCCATTTCCAGTGAAATGTTCAGGACACTGCTAGGAAGTGCTTTCCTTCATACTGACTGTACTGAAACAAGTCCTCGGTGTGGTGGCTCTTGACTGTTTCGGAGCTGGTCAAGCACGTGCTCTGCGGAGGCTGACGCCACAAACTGCCGCTCACACAACAGCAGCCTTCAGATCCTTTGGTTCTGATCACAAGCCTTTGGAAAGTGGACTGATTAATGACTGTCCCCTTAGAGTTCCATTTTAAACAGGCTACCTCAGTGCCTACACAGTCTCTGCCAACGTCCTTGACTTTTTCATGTCCATGGCTTTGTTCATCAGATTGTACACTGATGGCAATCTTACTTTATCCATATTTTTGCTGTAAACATTGAGAAATATGCCAAGGACAACTAGCAAGCCAGACCATACATACCTAAAAGAAAGAAATGAAAAAGTGGATATTAAAATTCACAGGTTAAAACTTCACTATTAATTATGACGTGGTGGTAGTCAGTCCACAATAACTTCAACCAAATAAAAACTTGCTGTCAGCTGGGCAGTGGTGGTGCAGGCCTTTAATCCCAGCACTTGGGAGACAGAGGAAGGTGGATCTCTGAGTTCAAGGTAAGCCTGCTCTACAGAGGGAGTTCCAGGACATCCAGGGCTACATAGATAAGCCCTGTCTCGGGGAAAAACAACAACGACAAAAAAAAAAAAACAAAAAACAAAACAAAACAAAAAAACCCCAACCAAGCAAGCAAGCAAACCTTGCTATTAGAGGTCTAAAATAACAGCACTAGAATCATACGTTGAATGGAGAGGAGGGGCTCACAAAGCCTGTTCCGGTTTGCTTTTCATTGCTATGGTAAAGACCGTATCAAAAGCAACTTGAGGTAGAACGGTTTTCTTTGGCTTACACATCCTGAGTCCCATTCCACAGAGGGAAGCCACGGCAGGAACACTCAAGGCAGGACTGAAGCAGAGAGCATCGAGGAACACTGCTTACCTGCTTGCTCCTCCTGGCTTGCAGTTTGCTTTCTCTTACACCCAGGACCATTTGTCCAGGGATGGCATTGCCCAGTGAGCTGGGCCCTCACACATCAACCATTAGTCAAGAAAACGCCCCACAGGCTTGCCTACGGACCAATCTGATGGAGGCATTTCTCAATTTAAATTTCCTCTTTTAAGCTGACTCCAGATTGTGCCCACTTGACAAAAAACATAAGCAGTCAAAAGCCCCACCTAGCTAAGGTATTGGCCACTGAAGGATGCTGAGGGAGGGAGTGTCCGTTTTCTTCAGGGATACAGTCCCAGGTAGGATGCTTATGCTCCTCCATGGATGGCCCTATACCCATGTACACACTAGCAGCACCAAGTAGACTCAGTGGTTAACAGAAGGGAGTACATGAAGTTGGGATAGAAATGGGGAGGGGGCTAGGAGATGCATTTGATCAAAACACATTGTCCACACGTATAAAGTCTCAAAAAATTTATGCTGAATATATACAGAAGAAAGTTACACAAAGTGAGAGTAATTTAAACTTCAGGGCTACCAGAACATTCAAAGTCTAACCCTTAGGAAGAGACTTAAGATTATACTTAAAATGCCAGATTCCTATTTACGAAAGGCAACATTATACATTCAACCCAGCACTCCACCTGGTTGTCCCAGTAAGTAGAACACAGATGATAATCAGGGACACATTCTGCACGAAGCAGGAGATCATTATAATTTAACTGCTATAATATATTATCACATGCATAAAGAAAAGTAACCTATGGACACAAATGACCTGTAACACATGGATGGAAATTTAAAATTTTATTTAAAATTATGTATTTGTAAACTAGGTTTGAAATCCTAATTACTGTCCCATAATGTTTAAACAAACTGCTTTCACACACATAATAGATAGCAAAAACACTGACCAACACCTTCTCAAAAAGCCACAATCTAAATCATTAGGATCTAATCTACAGAACACTTTCTATTGTTTATTGCTGTGGAAAGAGTCCATAAATAAAGGTTTTACAAGAATGAATTTCAAACATATAATTTATATATTTATATGTGAGAAAGAAAAAGCCTTTACTTAACACATGCACACAACTTGTACTCACTCCCATCAGAAACATGCACTAATAGAAAGTTACACTGGTACACACACTCCACTCTCAGTCTGTCACACTGGCACACACTCCACTAACAGCCAGTCACACTGGCACACACTCCACTAACAGCCAGTCACACTGGCACACACACTCCACTAACAGCCAGTCACACTGGCACACACTCCACTAACAGCTAGTCACACTGGTACACACTCCACTAACAGCCAGTCACACTGGCACACACACTCCACTAACAGCCAGTCACACTGGCACACACTCCACTAACAGCCAGTCACAATGTTACACACTCCACTAACAGCCAGTCACACTGGCACACACTCCACTCACAGCCAGTCACACCGGAACACACTCCACTAACAGCCAGTCACACTGGCACACACTCCACTAACAGCCAGTCACACTGGCACACACTCCACTAACAGCCAGTCACACTGGCACACACACTCCACTCACAGCCAGTCACACTGGCACACACTCCACTAACAGCCAGTCACACTGGTACACACTCCACTAACAGCCAGTCACACTGGCACACACTCCACTAACAGCCAGTCACACTGGCACACACACTCCACTCACAGCCAGTCACACTGGCACACACACTCCACTCACAGCCAGTCACACTGGCACACACACTCCACTAACAGCCAGTCACAATGTCACACACTCCACTCACAGCCAGTCACACTGGCACACACACTCCACTGACAGCCAGTCACACTGGCACACACACTCCACTAACAGCCAGTCACACTGGCACACACTCCACTAACAGCCAGTCACACTGGCACACACTCCACTAACAGCCAGTCACACTGGCACACACTCCACTAACAGCCAGTCACACTGGCACACACTCCACTAATAGCCAGTCACACTGGCACACACTCCACTAACAGCCAGTCACACTGGCACACACTCCACTAACAGCCAGTCACACTGGAACACACTCCACTAACAGCCAGTCACACTGGCACACACTCCACTAACAGCCAGTCACACTGGCACACACTCCACTAACAGCCAGTCACACTGGCACACACTCCACTAACAGCCAGTCACACTGGCACACACACTCCACTAACAGCCAGTCACACTGGCACACACTCCACTAATAGCCAGTCACAACGGCATGTACACTTACCTCACAATCAGTTATTTTGTCTCATATATTCCTTTCTCACACAGACACACTGCAACAAGACCACTTTTCCACTGGGCTTTAGCTGGGCAATTTAAATATACAAAATGACATTCAAAGTAACAAATTATAAAGATTCTTAAAATAGTAGAAAACATTTAATAGATAAGAGATTAGGATGAAGAGGATTCTATGTAGAGGACAATAGGCTAATACACATTAACATGTAAGTTAACACAAAGTAAAAGTTAGAAAATACTGCTGTTTAAGACAAAACATGAAATAGAGCATCTAAATTTTGAGAAACTTGTTGAATTTAGAAGTACTTACTGAAATGTGAATGGTTTGGCAAAGAATATAAATGAAAGGACTATGGTCATTGCTTTTCTTCCTGTTGTCACTGTGGGGGAAAGATTTAGACGCAACTTACTATCTTGGCTATATCTGTAAATCATTTATTCCACAAGTATTTATAGCTCTGTAGACGCCAGAACCTCTAAGGTGCCAGCGACAACACACCGACCGCCCAACAGCCAACCAAGTTCATGCTGCTCATGGTTTCGTAGAGAACTGGCACTGATCCAATTCCATGTCTAAGTACAGCTGCAGTCAGTGTTCATCAGCAGTCACGGCATGCTGGGGCCACAGCAAAAGGCTTTCCTGTGAGAGAAATGATTAGGCAGAGCAAGGCTAGCCTTTAAAAACAGCGGGAGGTTCACTAGTGTCCGGGTTGGTTGGCTGTTTGGAGACAGGTCTTGCCATGTCTTGCCCATCGTGCTCTGAGATTCCAGGCATGGACCTCACACGGGCTCCGAGTATTTAGGCATGGTGACCTCTGAGAATGAGATGGCAATTCCGACAGCTCTGCTCTCTGCACATTTGTCTTAACACTTCCTCCCTCTCTGGGTATTAGACTTTGACCTCCATTGTGTTGTAAGGCCTGAGACTGTCCCAACCCAGCCCAAGCAGAGGAGCAGCCACACACTTCTCCATTCGGGTCTCCACCCTCACACAGCTTCTCTCAGTTCTCACTAGTCTCCCGAGTCTCACTCGACTGCCCTCGTGGCACTTACCATTCAAGTGTGAGTGAGTAACTCAAGAACGTGCTCTGGAAACACAAGAGGGGCCTGCTCTGCAATGAATGACAGGTTTTAGGATACCTATTGGAGTTGGGCCTACGCTCCTGCCTCTCCCACACTTAGGTGTGGTCCTATGCCTCAGGATCTGGCCAGAAAAATGTGGGTAGATGTGTTGTTTCGAGCAGTACAGCATCTGGGAAAGATTCCACCAGAGTATGTTACGTCTTTCATCTTCTCAGACTCCATCCTGCTGGCCAGCACAGCAGGAGGATGCCATGGTAGGGAGGGTACTGAGGACCTTGGAGTCTCTCTCTCTCACCATGCCATGCAAGGAGGCACAGTGAGGACAGCAGGTGTGGAGGCAGACAGCTCTGCCTGGAATCCTGGTAGCAGGTTGTCAGCCAAGCCAATAACCTTCCCAAGTTTATCTACCTGAGTATAAATAAGAAAAACAAGAGTGCCAGCTGGTGAGGACTGAGGAGAGACCTCCATCCGGAATGACTGGACAGCCTGGGACTAGGACACAGGAAGGGCTCTGGGTTAGCTACCTCTGCCTTTTATTTGACAGGGAAAACATTTCTGCCTGCATCACGGAGGCAGGTTTGCATTTACAGCTCCGGAAAGCGATGCCCTACACACAGTCCCTGGCTCCCCTCACTCTCCTGCCATTTCTCCAAACACATCAAATGCAACCTTCGGTTCTCTACAGTGCCAGGCATGGACACACTCATCACTGGTGAAGAGAGAAACCGTTTGGGGGCTGGTGTTAAGAAATATCCAAGTGAAAGGTTTGCAAACTATAAAATGCACCTGCCATGTTTTAAGTGCAAGAAGACTGGAATTTCAGTAATCAATTAAAAGTATACGAAGGTAGTGCTTTCCCTGAAGGGGTTTCATTCCATCATAGTTTTACAGTAAATTTTTTCTAATGTATTTAATGTTTTTCATGAAAACGTATATATTTGACATAAAAATGAAGCCTTCGGGGCTGGGGATGCAGCTCAGGGGTAGAGTGCGTGCCCAGCATGCTGAGGGCCAAGGTCTATCCTCAGCACTGCACAAAGGGAAAAAAGGAAATCTTCGAAACAAGAAATGAAGACCAAACACCATTTCCTTTAGAACTCAAAACAAAACAAGCTACCAAAGCATTAAGCTGGAGACGAGTACCTTTTTAGAGAAAAGGTCCTACTCTCCTGTTTGTAAAACAGCATCAGAAGGAAACACTGTTAGCACTTCCTTCCTAAGCTGAGCAAGTCTCCTACCTGTCACAGCAAGCAGAGCACCAAAGATTTTAATCAGGGCTAGAACGAAGGAGATCCCAAAGTATCCAGTGAGGGAAAAGAGGAAGGCGTAGCCATAGGTGCGAACAGGGTTCTGTAGGGAGTAAAATGGCCTGTTAGAAAAACACAAAGCAAGCCCTGAGGTAGCCCATGAAATCAAGCCACAGCTCTGAATCAGCCTCTTGAGCAATAATAAGTCACTCCACAATGCAGTCAAGCAAACAATATTTAGTTTTTATTAATGGGAAAATATTGATGAAATGAAAAACCCTTGATTTGTACATTATGAACTTCTCAAAAATTAACTTACAGAGTAGAGAATGGATAAAAAAATTAAATATCAATCATTTCTGAGATCTTTCATTTCTAATCTGTAATGCTGTATTAGAAGAATTACCAAATCATACCAACAATAGCCTTTTTTGAACTTGGCAAAAACTGTACAGAGAAAATGTAAGATGCTTATTTTTAAGAATGTGATTAATGCTTACCTTTGAACAAAATGCCACTGCAGGGCCTAGCCCACTAGTGCACGACAGTCCCAACAAGATGTACACAAAACCGATGGAGTAGGAATACAAAACCTGGGGGAGGCGGAAGTAAAGCAGAAAAATCAAAAGGGGAAACTGAAGGGTTTGAATACATGCAATTAATCTACTCATTCAGTGCTGCAAAACAAAACATTTTTAAAGCAACTTTATCACTGCCCTATGGCTGATGTTTCTAGAAATAATGGCCAATTCCAGTGGCCTAAATATATATACAGTATTACATAACAAAAATCCATGGCCTATGTGGTGATACACTGTGTAACCTAATAAATTTGCCTGAAGATCAGACGACAAAACAAGCCATTAGATTAAACATAGATGCCAGGCGGTGGTGGCACACACCTTTAATCCCAGTACTTGGAGTCACATGCCTTTAATCCCAGCATTAGAAAAGGTGAGACAGGAAATGATATGGGTGGGCTGAGAAAGGTATATAAGGTGCGAGGAAACAGGAACTAGAGGCTTTTCAGGCTGAGGAGTCCTAGAAGTAAGATGTGGCAGTGGCTTGTTCCTTTGTTTCTCTGATCTTTCAGCATTTACCCCAATATCTGGCTCAGTTTTTTATTAAAAGACCATTTAGCAATTGGTGTTACCGGCCTATGGAACCTTCCATATATGTTTATATTTAACTCATTGATTAATTGCTAAATTTAAGCAGGTTTTAATTTTATCATTCTAAAAGCATAAATATGACAAAATCCTTAGAGCTACTTACAAAACATGAAAAGCGTCCTGAACATTGGAGTTTGCAAATGATACAAAAATCACCACTGTTTAATTTCCCTGCTCACTTTTGACTCCAGTTTATTAGCTCCTCACCCAGGGTACCTCCAGCTTCTAACAGAAACGCCTGTTGCAGGTTAACTACACTTAGCTATGCTACCCCGTATATGGGCTACTCCCTTGGCTCTCACAGCTAACCCTATCTTAATCCCACGTTCATTACCCAGCTATCAAACAAAGACACTGACGCTTGAGGGTGTAATTTGCCCCAAAGGAGAGCTACAGAGTAACCTAGGATACAATCTGAGGATTCAGTTTAAAGCCTGCAGACCTGTATGCTACCTTGAGTTTCTAGGTGACCTGCACAGTCTTAATTCTAAGGCCATCTTTACCCCAGCCATGAAGAGTAGCGACACTGACCAAGCAAAGATCTACTAAGATGCAAATTCCTGTTACTGAGATGTCAATACCCCATGCTGTGGCAGACAGCAACAGGAAACATATTCCTTTATATCTTCAATGCAGTGTGTTCTATCTGAACAGCAAAGCAAGTGTGCTCTCAATGTCTGACACACACACACACACACACACACACACACACACACACACACACACATACACCCCTATATAAAAACAAAAGCAAAAGATATTTTATCTGAAGAATACTTTTAAATCTAGTGGACATTTAAAAGGAAAACTTGGGGAGACTGGAGAGAGCTCAGGAATTAAGAAGGTGGATTGCAAGTTAGGGTCTCAGCACTCATGGTAGGTAGTTCACAACTGTCTGTAACTCCAGCTCCAGGGGAATCTTGGCCTCTACTAGTACCTATACTCATATACTCACACACACACACACACACACACACACACACACACTAATATTATACAATCAAAAATAAAATAAAAATATTATAAAAAGACACTTGAAGAAAAGGAAAGTCATACCTTGATCTTAGATTGAAAGAACAATATACAGATGCCATGCCCCTAAACTAACTTATAATTCAACTCTACCCTAGTCCCAGTCCCAGGGGGGTTTCTAGTCTATGTGAGGGTATAAGCGCCCAGGAGTAACTGCTGGTAGTCTTGAAAAGGAACAAGATGGTTAGCGCTAATGATGAGGAATGAGTGCAGCTCTTCAAGTTTCTGTGGGCTGAGGCAGAAATTAATTCTAGAGAATTCTGACCCCTGTGTGAGGATGGGAGATACAGAAGGCATCTAAAATAAGTGGGGAGGAAGGGATGTTTAGTAAACAGAAGTGGGGTCTAGCAGGATTTATTTAATAAAAAAGAAAATAATAAAACTACTAGGCAACATGGGTGAAAAGCACTTTGATACATAGCTAGAAGCCATCAACAAATAGAGAAGTTGGATTAATAAGAATTACAAATTTCCACACTGAGAGTAATACAGAAAGAAATACAAACAGAAGGAAAACAATGTCACAAAGAAGTTTCTTTTAACAGATAAAAGACTACAGAAATCAATGAGGAAAGTATTGATAAGTTATACAAGCTGTTAGCAGTGACAGGTCTCCTTCCAACCTTCCACAATATTGTTAGCACTGTGTTCACGAAAACGATACAGTGGATTAAAATGCACATTTGTTCTTTGAGCCTGTAGCTATTTCATGAAATCAGCCATGCATCTTACAAACACCAGGGAAGCACTGGGTGCTCACCATCTCAGAGTTGGAAGCATTGTGCAGTTTCATAGCTTTCTCCTGAACATTCCCAATGACAGCATCTGCACACAGCGCCAGGGAGATAAGCATCACACCTTCAAGGAAGAAGAGAATGATCCTCTTTAAGCATATTAACTGTAAGCAAGGTTGACCAGAAGTTTAACTGAGCTAAAAGTCAAAAGCAGATTGACAATCCCATTTGGCTGGAATGCTGAATATGCTGATCTATAACTCGTTTTGGTAAGCACATAGGTAATGATATTAATGTAAAAAAGACAGACACTAATAAACTAATGCTACCATCAGAATCGTACTTCAGCATCATGCCAAATAAAGTTCTACTTCTAACCTGGACCGTATGACGGAAGGAACAAGTGTAGAAAATCCTAGAAGATCTATTGGAATTGGTGGTGGTGACACAAAATACTTGAGAGGAGAAACAAAAAACAAACATTTAGAGAAAAATCATATACACAAAATGTCTTCTAAAAGGTCCAGTTTAAAAGGAACACATGGGCACTGCTTCTGACTGGAACTCTAGACATTCTCCTCTATCAACCACTCATTTTCAGTCTCCACACTTTCCAGGTAGTGTCTGTTGAGAAGTGCAGCTACAACTGAGAATTCTGGGTAACAACTGGAATGCCCAACCCTTTTATAGTTTTACAACCCTCAATTCCATACTGTCTCAGACACACCTAATTCAATGGTGATTTTGTTAGCTTGCCAGACAAACTGTCTCAGTGACTGTTCACATAAGCAAGCCTCCCTTTCATATCCATGAGGATAACATGAACAATATTGTCACATGCTGTAGTGACAGGTCCAATGGCATCGGATCTGGGTAAAACCACTCACTCCTGGGAAGCAGCAGGCAGGTGTGCATGAAACAGGCCTGGCTGCTTCTGAGCTTCACATACAGAGGGAAAGAAGTCATGGTTCCATCTGTGGGTTTCATGGGCTTGTGGGCTTTCTTGCCTCAACCTTCTCAATATTACGACCCTTTAATACAGTTCCTCATGTGTTACTCCCAATCATAAAATTATTTCATTGCTACTTCATAACTGTAATTTTGCTAATGTTATGAAATGTATGTAAATATCCAATATGCAGGATATCTGATATGTGACCCCTTTGAAAAGGTCATTAGATTCCCAAAGGGGTCGTGACCCCTAGGTTGAGAACCTCTGCTCTAAAACCAAAGTGGGGACTGGTATTCACCAGTTTCTCTCACGAAGAATGTCTGGGTTCTAATTCTTTCAAAATGTGCCCACAGAACTCAGGAAGAGAGAAGACTCAGGTGCCCTGGGGTACACCTTCCCTGGCTGTCTCGTCTCTCTCTTGTCCCCTCTCTGCTGCATGTGGGTGTTCTCAGCCCTTCTTCCTCAGGTGATACAACATAAAGTAAGACAAAAAGCAACTAACCCTTGGTGCCCTTTACCCAAGAGGGCCTGATTCGTTCTGGAGAGTTCTGATCTCCTCTTTCCAACGAAGACCATCTTTCCCACTCACTAAACAGCACAACAGATAGGGCATTGAGAAGAGTGAGGAGGGTTTGTCTTACTCTTTCACAGAGTCTCCTGAAGGAGAAACTGCTTTTCTGACCCTGCCGACTTGGAGCAGCACACACAGCCACTCCCACATGTCATCATTCTACACCCGAGTGTTGCTTTCAACACCTTGCTATTTCCAGAGAACCGTCTGAGGTGTACTACATGCAGTGAGGTTTCCATGAAGCCGAGGCAGCAAGTTCCCTCAGGGATGTCTGTGGCTGTGAGAGGGCTGCCCCAAGAGGTCCAACTGCTTATATTTAAACACATCAATTCAGGCTGGTTAACTAGGGCCAGTAAGACTGGCTGATAACTGGTCTGACTCTTGAGAACCATTGTGAAGCTAATGTAACCAATATTTTCATTGTAGAATTGGTTATTTTACACTTGTGCTTGCTGGTATCCAATGTTGCTTTTCCCTGTTCTCTTAGGTGTTTTCTTGTTTTTGTTTTTCTGATCTAGAAACTTTAAATGCTATTTTAGTGAAGATAAATGATGGGATGACACTGTGTTCTTAGTAAAATTCTTCCAGTAGCTTAAGGAAAATATTATATGTATATAGTAAATGCCCCAAATACCCCAAAACAATTTATCTCAGTGGTTCTCATTCTTCCTAAGGCTGTGACCCTTTAAAAATACAGTTCCCCATGTCATGGGAACCGTAAAATTATTTTTGTTGCTACTTCATTACTGTAATTTTGCTAATGTTATGAATCATATTGTAAATATGATATGCTAGATATCTGATATGTGACCTCTGTGAAAGGGTCGTTTGATCCTCTAAAGGGATCATGACCCACAGGTTGAGAACCTGATTCATCGCATGGTCATGAAAATAAACACAGGATTCTAATGCTTATTCTTATCCCTGGACACACTGTAATACTTACCTGGCTTTTGAAAACTCTAAATTTAATTGACAAAAAGCATAGAGCACAATGGAGGAAACTAAGTCACAGAGTTACAGCTCTATTCACGTCACCACTGTGACTTCCCCACATCTGCTGTGTGCTCTTGTCTTTGACAGTTAACCAGGAGCCTTTTGTCATGTACTCCAACAATGGTGCATCTCTAGAGCACTGACACTTTTCTATAGTTTGGAAAGTCTGAAAGCCTTGTTAGGTATGGGACTCATCGACATCATAGCATCATTTAAAATCCTTGTGAAAACTTACAAATTCTTATTCAAAATAAAATGCTTATACAATTTAGGAATACAAATACATTCCTCACCTGTCAGGTTGAAGTTTGGTGCAACTGTACTGTCAGCCAGGGTAAACCAGATCAGGCCAAGGCTCATGCACACTGCTGCAGACACATCTGCAAGGTTGTACCGCTTTCCTATGTGAGACAAAGGGAAGCTGGCCTCATTATGCAAATATTTACCCAGCCTACTGTCAGATCATGGGGCTTCACTAAGCAGAACAGGGATGTGCTGTTCACATCTAATGCTCAAATCATGAAGAACACTCAGATCAAGGTACACAGCAATCCCAGGAGGTTTAAGATTAAAGCAGGCACCACATGATCTTGTTAGATAGAAATGAGATCTTATTTTATCTATTATGACAAAAAACAAAACAAACAAAACACAAAACCACATACATGCACTACTTGATGGTGAAGATATGCCCTGAAAATGCACCTGAGGGGGATTTTGTTGTCTGACATCATCAGGACACATACACAGACTGAGATAGCTATGATGTCACTGGGTAACAGTATCTCATGGGAGCATTTGCATACACAGTCTACTGGTGACTAAAGCTTCCTTATATGTATGTATGACTACAATTTTGTGAAAACTGACAAAAGTAAAAGGTATACTCCCCAATATTCACTATTTATAAAAATGAGTATGTCTTTTATCTTATATTCACTATTTATAAAAATGAGTATGTCTTTTATCTTACGTATAATAAAAGGCTACAGATTTTCCTTTAGCTTGTAAGTTTACAAAGGGAAGAGAGTAATGATTCTGGCTATATAAATACCATTTCAGCTTATAAATACTATGTGAAGACCATTAGGCAGGGGAGAATTCACTCATTTTCCTCTGCCTAATGTATTCTAACTTTCGGTAAAGATTCTAAGGAAATATACGTGCCTAATCAGAATTTTTAATAGAGACTGAGGTAATTTTTCCACATGAATGACCATCCTCAAGTGTCCAATGAGGTAGCTGACACATTTCCACTATAAAAGGTCAACCCCAGGAAGGCAGCTTGATGCACACACTGAGAGCAGGCTGCACAAGCCCTTCAGTGATGGGAACAGCCTCAAGACAGGGACCAAGCAACAGCTTGCTCCAAGGCTTGCTGCTCCAGCTGCGTCCTCTTTCCACCCAGCTCCACACAGCTTGGCTCTAAATCATCAGAGCCGGGTGCAGTCAGGGAAGAAGTGGGTCCACTCAGACGGGCTTCATTTTGTGAATATGGCACTGTGGGGTGCATTAAATTCCAAGATAAAATAATAAAACAAAACACTGGCTTTCCTCACTTTTGTCCAAATTATGAACCTCAAAATACTACAGTATGTTAGAGAATATCAGTGTTTTTATGACACCCTATTTTTACCAGATACTATACTATCACAATGTCTAGAGTGCTCAAGAACAGTGTTGTGGACATTGACTATTTTTCCTAATGCCAGATGCCACAACACAGCTGTGCGCTTCAAACAGTATAAAATGTCATTACTGTACCTTGAATAAAAACTCCTCCTAGCATAACAGGGATCAGTTTGCAGCACTTGAAGATGACTTGGGTGGGGTAATTCAGGTAGCCCAAGGAAGTGTTGGATAAGCCCATAGTACCCACAGTTAGAAAAGCTATTATCATGTAGGTTTTTCCTGGTATTCTGGAAGAGACAATTTTTAAAACCTTCATTGTGGGACCCAGTTTCATAGTACTTTAAAGATGATGGCTTACAATGTGTTTCCCTATTTCTGGTTAGTGTTTCTGGAAATATACATTAAAAAAATCATTCTTTTCAAGTTGTAACACTGTTTACTTGTACACTGATAAAAATCACAATATACTTTTACTGAATCTTCAATGAGGAATCTCAACTGTGTGTTATAACAGTAAGAGACTTACTGAGATTCTAACTGATGTATAAATGGTGATCAAAGATTTTCTTACAGTAGTTCTAGGTATAGATTAAAAACTATCTTGATTTAATTAAAAAAAATTGAGATGATTAAAAAAAAATGGGCCTCTACAACGGTAAAAAGGCCCCAATTACTAATGTTGGAAATTAGCTTTTAGATTGCTTTTGCTTCCTAATGTTTCCATTCAGCATTAGGAAAAAAACCTAACTACCAGAACAGGCAAAGAACTTCTCTAGAGAAAGCTCATGAGCTTTACAACTCCAGGCATGATTGTTACTACAATATTTTATAAACCACCTCTCTATTTCCCATGTTATAGTAATAATCAGCTTCAGGTAAAGTTTCTGATGCTGTCTTTGTAACCTCTAAATTTTTAACTTAAAGTCACCAGTATGGGTATATGCTCACTCTGAGTAGTTACTAATGGTTTAAAATAATAATCTGGCATACTGTATGATAGACAAAAACACATTAATCACATAATTTGATTATGCTGTGTACTTAGATGTAACCTACCTACATTTAGGCATTTGAATTGGTATTTAAATCAGGCACAAAGGCACACAATTCTTCCAATTTTTTTTCTTCCTTCCCCTTTCTTTTCTTTTTCTTTTTTCCTTTTGGAGACAGGATCTTTAGCCCAGGCTGGCCTTAAAGTTCCTACATAATGGAGGAAACCTTGAGTTTCTTTCTGATCAGTACACTACCTGAGTGCTGAGATGACAAGTATGTGCCACCAATCCTGAGGATGTGGTACTAGTGATTGAATCCATGGCCTTATGCATGCTCGGCAAAGACTCTACCAACTGAGCTACATCCCCAACTCTCTACATTTTTTATATGGGTATTTACACACTAAAACAATCTGTTGAAAAAATTCTATTGAAATGCATTATTTACCCTTTCAACTTTTAGGTTTTCCTACTTAAGTACTAATGTAGGAGTCAACATTTAAAACCCACTGACAAGAACTGGCCTGCCCATGGGGTGTCCTTCAATTACCACAATGTATTTCCTCAGTGTCCCTGGAGTCTGACCAATCATTGCCCTTGTCAGCGAAGGAGGGAACATCACTTTCCTAGCTTCGGATAAAAACCAGTCATCAACTTTCCTCAAAGATAAACTGTAAACAATGGTGGCCAGAAAGGAACAATTCCAGTCAGCAAACTTACGAGGAATGGTTATGGCAGCAGGATACAGGCAGGCAGGAGTTGTCCTGAGGCTCAACCCCCAAAGGAACTTGCTACCTTATAAAACCTCCTCCTGGTCCTGTTTCCTTATGGGTGATGAGGAAGCTGCATTTCATCAGCCTGCCTCCTGGATTCCTGGTGTTTCTATTTTATTTATTTATTTAATTAAAGATGGTGGGGAAAATGCAGTTGAAAAGGAATCCTTCAATTGCAAAATCATCTACTTCCTATTCCTAAACTCAGACAATGGCTAAAAAGTTGTTACTTGGCGAGGGATGGCAGCACCATGGTTCAAGCATGAGAGTTGTGATGTTACTCAAGTACACTGTCAAACAAGCCCAGAGTTCAGAAACTCCCCAGGGCTTGACAGAGCCAGTGAGGGGCAGTGCCCAGACCCATGATCTTTACATTCTAAACCCGGTGCTTGTGCATCAGCATCACTTACACAGACCCAAGCAGAGAAAACAACTAAGCAGAGGCTAAAAGGAGTGGCAGTCAAGGAGATTCAGAAGTCAAGTCCACTCAGGACAAGGAGTCCTGGGGCTGGATGAAGCTCTCAACACTGCAAGACAACGTGCCTTGTAAAGAAAAGGCTTCCGTTCACAGCTACTCATTTTAAGTCTAGAAATTCACCTTTCAAAATCAAATGTTTAAATCAAATGCAAGTTATTTTATTTTCAAATATTTTATGGTCACACGGCTAGAAAGGTGAGATACTCTAGCCTGTACTACATCTCATCTGGTTGGCTGATACAGGGAGATGCTTCCTCCTCAAACTCAACTTCAGGAGCAGTACCCAGACTTCTACCCTGAAGCAGCGGTTTCCAAGAGATAATGGATCGTCAGTCCCTCACTATTAGTCTTGGCAATGATATTTACTTACTTTCTAGTCTATCACCCACGTTTCATCTTGGAGTTTTAGAGCATGAAAAAACAACAGAGATGATATTCTCACACTTGAGTACTTAACTATAACTGTTGTAAAAAATTACCAGCAATAGAATTCGGGAAATAAAATTAAATCTATAAAGACATTTGTTAGATTCTTCCAGGAAAAATCTGTGTAAATGGATTTGAATGTTTAAAATCGAATAGTTAACTATGTATACACTTCAAAACAATTATGTAGAAAAATAACAAGCTGTGATTTTTCAGGCATTAAACATTTATACAAAAGATAGAATGTCAGTATTGTCTTTATTATCTTTTAACTGTCCCCCACACAGATACATGAATATAGCCATCCTAGATGGGATGAAGGATGAACATGTTTCATTTACCCCCACTGCATGCCCACTTTCCTAACTATCTTCTGTTTATGGTCACAGTATTACTGTATTTTGTTTTATACGCCATTAAAGATAACCAAAGTATTTTTTCAAATCTATATGGTTACTAATTTAAAAGTCTTTGAAATAAGTGTTCTGGATTTAACAAAAAGAAATGTGTTCCTCCAATATTTAGGAACACAGATTTCCAAACCAAGACTAGAATGTGGGAGATGGACTTGTTGTAAGGGAGAAGGGAAGCTCACAGGCTGGGAGAGAGATGAGGAAGGGTGGGGTGAGAGTACACACACACACACACACACACACACACACACACACACACACACACACACACTGCCAAACAACAAACTGTATCAATTACAAGAGAGAAACCTTGGACTCCCAGGTAAAGCAGCTGCCTTTACATGCCTTGGTGAAGAAACAGCTGTATGAAAGGACTTTGCTTTAAGACAGTGGATACACCAGCAAGAATGTAGCTAAGTCAAACAGCTCTGGCTGCTGTCTGGTGGGGGCAGGGGTGGAGGAAAAGCCTCATCCAAAAGGGAAGTCAGTCCTAGTATAGACACAGGCAGCTCTACCCTCAGGATAAGGCCAGAAAGAGCCTCCAATTTAGCGGTGGGTTTTGGTGAGACTGATGTCTCAGGTAGATGGGTCAGTGCTGGAGAGGATTCCTACTCTGAGGGCAGTGGCTGGGTACCAACCTGATAGAACCGACAGTTTAAAACTTATCTACCTGGGGCAGCCTAATCTGCTGTAGGATGGTCTGTATGTCAAGTGTGTTGCTGATTGGTCAATAAATAAATCACTGATTGGCCAGTGGCCAGGCAGGAAGTATAGGCAGGACAAGGAGGAGAATAAAGCTGGGAAGTGGAAGGCTGAGTCAGAGAGACACTGCCAGCCACCATGATGACAAACAGCATGTGAAGATGCCGGTAAGCCACGAGCCATGTGGCAAGGTATAGATTAATGAAAATGGATTAATTTAAGCTGTAAGAACAGTTAGCAAGAAGCCTGCCACGGCCATACAGTTTGGAACCAATACAAGTCTCTGTGTTTACTTGGTCGGGTCTGAGCGGCTGTGGGACTGGCGGGTGAGAGAGATTTGCCCTGACCATGGGCCAGGCAGGAAAACTGTAGTTACACTAATCCTACTCTGAGGGCAGTGGCTGGGTACCAACCTGACAGAACCGACTGTTTAAAACTTATCTACCTGGGGCAGCCTAAAGACAGGGAACAACGACGAGCCAGAGAGTCTGCCGTAGGCCCTGAGAACTCTGAAGGCCCAGGAGGCTGCTTGACAGCCACAACTGCATCCCTCCAAGAGGGTGAGGAGCACTCAGGTGGGCTACAAAGGACAGACAGGTGCTTTGTCGGCAGATGGCTCAGTGCCGTGTGTGCCACACTCCCAGCACACGTGTTAGCCCCTTCCAAGCAGAATTTCAGTGACACCAGGGGATACTATGTAAAGAGTCACAGGAGGGTGAGGGTCTGCCCAGCCCACAATTGCAGAGATTCTGCTACATAGACAAGCTTCTAAACTGAACACAGATACTTGTTCACCACCACACAAACCACAGCCAAGACAGGAGGCCACAAGGCCACTTGCCTCTACTAGCAAGAAACTGGCAGGACTCACAGGGAGATGGCCATAGTTGCATCCTTCATCCCCAAAATTTCTCTTTCTTGGGCACATTTAGTAGTATTTTTACTTTATTGTATTAAAAACGTATCAATGTTTTTACTTTTCTCCTTCATACATTCATCTAATGCTGCTTACCCATGTTTTTTCATTACTAGGCAAGCATTTCTCTTCTCTTTTCTTTCCTCTTTATGCCTCTGTGTCTTTTCCTCCATTCCTTTCAGCAACACTCTAACTTATTTTATTTTTTTGGTGTTTTGAGATGGAGTTTCTCTGTGTAACAGTCCTGGCTGCACTGGGACTTGCTTTGTGACCGAGGCTGGCCTTGAACTCACAGAGATCCACCTGTCTCTGCATCCCGACTGCTGGGATTAAAGGCGTGTTCCACCATGCCTGGCTTGACCTTATTTTAGAAAACAAACAAAGCCATCCTTTTATTTTTTTACTCCCTTTCCTAACATATGTCTAAATTTGTTTTTGAACTTTCTCATTACTGGAAAATCTTGTTTATTGGTATTTCTTCTCTTAATTTTTTTTTGATTTTTTCTTTCCCTTGTAACACTCTCATCTGTTCTTCTCTATCACTCCTCCTTCCCACGCCTCTTCCATCGCATTTCATTCGCTATTTCGAAATCTAGCACAGTCATCCTACATTAGCTTTTGCCATTTTTGTTATATCATTGGTGATGTGTAAACTGCATTTACTTTAAGTGTATTTTATATCCTCTTTGATATTGCTGCTGTCATAGTTTTTTTGTTGTCTTTTTGTTTGTTTGTTTTAACCTTTTTGAATTGTACTGGGGATTGAGCCTTCAAGAAAAGGCTGCCCAATAAGTTGAACTCCAGATGGAATTGGAAGGGATACCCAAACCAAGAGATGTGCAAATAGCTACAAGGAAAACACACACACACACACACACACACACACACACACACAGAGAGAGAGAGAGAGAGAGAGAGAGAGAGAGAGAGAGAGAGAGAGAGAGAGAGCAACGTGACTTCAAAAGATCCTAACTCAATTATTGAACTCAATGATACTACTGAAATGGTAAAATGCCAAAGAGACATCCAGTGTGTATTAGTAAGAATGATAAGTGACCTTAGAGAGCACCCATACAAGCAGCAGGACAAAATCCAGGACTTAAAGTCAGCAACATAGAAAAAGTTAAAATAAAAAAAAAAAGGGGTGGGGAGGGGAATGAGAAACTCTGCAATATGGATGAGAAGTTGGGCGGGGGGGGGGGGGGGATCATCAAGGAAATTGAGATTTTGGGGAAACAAAAAACTCAATGAATCAAATAAAAACACAATGGAAAGCATCGCCAAGAGACTTGACCCAGCAGGAAAAAAGGTGTTTCAGGGATGGAGGGCACAGGAGAGAAACGCTACACAAAGCTGATAAAGAAAACAATGAAGGGTATAAAGCCCCAGAACACGGGGGCCAAGCAAGGGTAGAAGCCGAGTCATAGCCTGGAAAACCACAGCAGCACATTTCACAAACCTAGAGAAAGAAACGGGCATCCAGACACAAAAGGGCGGAGTCCCAAACAGACATGACCAGAGAAGAATGTCTCCATGGCACACAGAAATACAAAGAAACAAGATTAAAAGCTGAAAGAGGGAGACACGAGCTCGCCTATAGAGATACACACCTCAGAGTAACATCAGATCTCTCTCAGCAATTTTAACCCAGGAAATCACGGAATGATACAGTTCAAGCCTGCTGACCAAGTTGCTATATTCTTTGAAAAATGATTAAAAAATGCAAATATTTGAAGATAAGCACAAATTAAGGCAGTTCATGGTCACCAATTTAGCATTCCAGGAGACACTTAAAGGAATACTATACACAGAGAAAGACGGAAAAACGGTCTCAATCACAAGATAATAATAAAGCACAACTTCAATGAGAGGAACAGACAACAAAGGAGAGCTCAGAAAGAATTCATCAGGTCCAGTGCAGTAAGCCAGCAAACCCTTAACAGGAGGGAGGAAGACCAAAGAAGAATCTAAGCAAAGGTATTATGGCAATTAGTAAACAATTTCCAAAGATAAATGACCTCAAATGTAGATGACTTCAACCCAACAATAAAGAGAAGCAGACTGGCTGACATATTAAAATCTAAATCTAGCTAATGTCGTCAAGAAACATTTCTCTGGAAGATACCCACAGACTGAGAGCCACAGGATGGAAGTGAACCTACCAAGCAAATGGAAACCGAATACAGACTGATGTAGCTTTTTGGTAGCTGATAACTTGAAATCAAACTAAGACCTAAGTAATAAGAAGGTCGGCATATAGTAATGAAGGGAACAACTGAGCAGCAGCTATAACTACTGTAAATAAATATGCACCACACACTGTGGCTCATGATTTCACTGAATATTAACAGACATAAAAATCACTTCAGTGTGAGTCCAATAGAGTGGGAGATTTTATAGCCAATTCTCATCTTTAGACAGGTCATTCAAACTAAAAATCTACAAGGAAACTTTATAACATTGGTCAAAGGATTTAACAGATATACCAGCTTCAGTTGACTCCATATACACAAACCAATGTAACATACCACATCAATACTCTTAAGGAGAGAAATCACAAGACTGTCTCAATAGGTGTAGAAAAGATCACAGGCAAAGTTCTATACCCCTTCATGGTTAAAACTTATAAGAAGCTAGGAGCAGAAGACATCCACATCAAGAAATTCAAGGCTCTAGATAGCAAAAGTTATACTCAAAGTGCTCAAAATCTTAGCTAGAGGGCCAGCAAGATGGCCCGCAGTAAAGAGTGACAGCCAGAGCTCACAGTGTGGGTAGAGAACTGACTCCTGAAAGGTGTTCTCAGACCTCCTCACACAAGCCCACACACATGACCTTTGAGCTTTCTCCTCCTTCCTCCCACCGTTTCACATACACAATGCAATCTGAAAAATTAAAAGAGCATATTCTCTATGTTAGAGCATAAAGAGAAGAGGAAGAAATAAAAGGTACACAAACAGCAAAGAAAAAAGTCAAATCATCCTTGTTTGTATCCAGCACAATCCTATTAAAGAACTTAAAAACTCTACCAGAAGATTCATCTGATTAATTTTATATACCAAAACCAAGTTTGCTAAGGAAGAAATGAGGAAAATCCCACTTATAATTGTTTAAAACAAAACCAAAACAAAACACACAACTAACCAAGGAATAAATGTAACCAAGAGATCGTGGAAAACTGCTCTAACGACACTTGCGCCAACAAAGAAACTGGAGACACTGGATTGGCAGAATTAACACTGTGAAATAGCTGTATTATTAAAAGTCATCTACAGATTCAACACAATCCCATCATGACTCTAATGCAGTTTTTTACACTAGATGAGACAATCCTAAAAATCATAAGCACAAAGGACCCCAAAGAACTCCTAATAGCAAGTACAGTGCTGGAGTTATCACAGTGAATTCTACTATAGAGCCATATTGATAAAAAAAATATGACGGCGGAGCCCCAACAGATAGAGACCAACAGAACAGAAGATCTAGAGAGAAACTCCCACAGCTACGTACAACTCATTTTTGACAAAGGTGTCAAAACGTACAATGGGAAAAGACAGTCCCTATCAACAAACAGTGCTGGCAAACTGGATACTCATGTAGAACCAGATCCGTATCTCACCCTGCATAAAAATGAATTAAAAATAGATCAAGACCTCAATATAAGACTTAATGCTCTCAAACTCTTGGGGGAAAGCACTTCAAGACACAGGCATAGGCAGTGACGTTATGAAAGTGCTCCAGAAGTGCAGGAGAATCCCAAGAACAGACAAACTATATCACATAAAATCAAAAACCTTTTGCTCAGCAAAGAAAACAGAGTGAAGAGGCAGCCTACAGAACGGGGCAAAAGTCTGTGCTAACTATATACCAGATGGGGATTAATATTGAGAATATCTTACCCTCCCCCACATTAAACACCGTAACACAAACCATGCAGTCAAGAAATGGGCTAAGAAACTAAATACACAATGCTAAAGAGTAAACGTAAATGGCCAGAAGATATTTGGACACCTGGGCAACATCCTTAGCCATCAAGGAAATGCAAATTACGGCAATACATCGTTTCTGGAGAAGATGCGGGGAGAGAGGAATGTTTGAACCCTGCTGGTGGGAATATAAACTGGTGCCACCCAATGGAAACTAGTACGGGGTTTTCTAAAATCTAAAGAACATGTCACAGCACAGGGCCCAGCTATGCCACTCCTCATCTAGAAAGGATGAAATGCACAGAAGTGTCTGCACATCCGCGTCTACTGCTTTACTATTCTCAAGAGCCAGGGAAGAGAGCTAGCCTAGACATCTAACAACCTACGACAGATGGAGAAAACAAGGTGTGGAACTTTATTTAGTCATGAAGAGAAATGCAATCAGGACACCTGCAAGGAAATGGATGGAGCTGGAATTCATTATGTTAAATGCACTAAGGGAGAAACAGAGACACAGCCATATGTTCCCCCCATATAAGGTACCTAAAACTTATATATATAAAACTTATGAGGAAGTACTTGAAATTAGAAAGGGGACAAGAGGGAAGAAGGAAGAGAGGGAGGAAATGGACAGGGTATCAAACTCCTGTGACATGAAAGCAGGGAAGGGGACTACCTATGGGAAGGGAGCAGCAAGGGTGGGGGCAGGTAAATGTGGGGTGCAGTGTGGGAGGGGATGAACTAGAACATCCTACGATGACACGTACATCGTATGCCAAAATAAAACCCTTACTATCAACTCATTAAAAAAATAAAGAATCCAGATCTCAACTACCAGACACTGTAACAACGTCAGGGGATACAGCCCACAAAACATTAACTTGACACTTCAAAAACTATTAGAAAACTTGCCACTAGCCTTTCGCTTACCCACTGTGATGTTGGCACATTTTAAATCTTTCACTAGGCATGCCTTGGTCATCTCATGGAAATGTGTATCTGAGCTCTCTGAGGGAATGTGCTTAACCATAAACTGACTCATGATCTATTTCATTTTTGTGACACTGTATTTAAAAGGGGGAATCTACTTTTCCAGTGCACAAAGGAAATAAATAGATTTATTATTTTAAACAAGTAGTTCACACTGATAAAAAACTCATGATCAGATGTTAGCAGGAAATGTAGAATCATGCACAGTCAGCATGCTGACTTTATTTTTTTTCATATCCAACTGATGCAGTAACCACACCACATACCTTCTCCTTTTGTCCTGAATGAGCTGAAGTTCTATTAGGCCAAATATGGAGTAAAATGCAAACTGCATTAAAGTAAGGTACCAGCCATAGGGCTTAAAGCCTTCCATTGAAAATATCAACTCCTGTAAAAAGACAAGGAATGCTGTTAAATTCAAGGCAGAGACTGACTTTCAGTTAATTGTTCTAAGCACATTTTAAAAGCAAGCAAGCCATACTCCATCCAACTCCACCCCACTCCTGCCAAATCACTAGACTTCCTAAGACAATTTAGGCATGAAAATCAACAGAGAAGTAACTAAAATGCAACATCTTCTTACGCTTCTTCATCAGAAACCACGTAAGTATTTACAAAGTCAAAGCTACAATCTGGTTGGGCGGTGGTGGCGCATGTCTTTAATCCTAGCACTCAGGAGGCAGAGGCAGTTGGATCTTTGGTGAGTTCGAGACCAGGCTGTCTACAGAGTGAGATCCAGGAAAGGCGCAAAGTTACACAGAGAAACCCTGTCTCAAATCTGAAGGTTTTATGCAACTAAAAGCCTTGCACATTTTGTTCTGGATGGAAATCTGATAATTATTCAAATAGAAAAAACCACAGCTAATAACATTTATAGACTATGTAGCAAGAGCATGAAGTCCTAAGTGAATGCGTATTGCTGAGATAGACAAGGCCATGCCAAATACCCCTATACCTCAACCGTATAGGAGTGCCAAAGCCTTCCCCAGGTGATGGCTCAGGGGGGTGGTAAAGCCTTCTTTAGCTCCAAGTACGAATGCTGATAGTGTATACACAAAATATTCGATATAGCTCTCTCCCCACCCTTGACAAGATCATGGCCTGAAGCCTGCTCCCCTACAGAGAATGCTTCTACCAACACTAGCTAAACCTGCTTTCCTGTCCGGCAGTGTATTGTAAACCCAGCCTCCTTGTCCAAGCTGTAATAACCCCACCTCCCTGTTCAACTGTATATAATAAACACGCTGAACTTCTGGGGCTGTGGCTTCTTGATCTGAGAGCCCAGTCCACCCAACCCCAGCTTTACTGTGTCCATGTGTTTGTCATTTCTTCATGCCCTCACTATCTCAGTCGGTAAGTCCCTGGAGCCTTGCAAAGCATCGCAAGGTGGCTGCATTACTTTCCTTTGCAGTGGCTACCTGTCCCCCCAGGTCATTTGGGTTTTTTTGTTTGTTTGTTTTTTGAGACAAGGTTTCTCTGTGTAGTTTTAGTGCCTGTCCTGGATCTCACTCTGTAGACCAGGCTGGCCTCGAACTCACAGAGATCCACCTGCCTCTGCCTCCCGAGTGCTGGGATTACAAGCGTGCGCCACCACCGCCCGGCTACTCCAAGTGATTTGTAACAGAGGAATTTTGAAGGGAAGAAAATAATGCTTCATAACAAGAAAGATTCTACTCCTATTTCTAACTGCTGTGTGATGTGATACCTTGCTTTTTTTTAATCACCCTCCAGCTGGGACTCAAGTTACCAATCATATTCTACAGTATTTTTACATAATGTTCTTCAGGACATTCTCTAGGATAACTAAAAAAAGAAAGTCAAAATTTTACTTATATGTAAAAAGATGTAATGCATCTCTATAAGATAAATGGACAATAGATGTTTTATGAGATTTTTATGCATAAGTAAGGTCACCCAAATGTGGTACTAATGAACAGCAATAGTTTATGTCCCCTCTTAAATTACTGAGGTTCTCAGGTATGATATAGTTGAATTAAAAACTAAGTTGCTAATGGTTAAAAAAACCTATCAAGTCAATGCACATTAATAACACTGGGTGCCAAATTCAAACACACATGCTCACCATGGACTGCACCTTCGCCCATCCAGCCATGGTTCTGAAGGGTAGGTATTTGCTGGTGGTCAAAGGCGTACAACCACCTCAAGCTACAGAGCAAACACTGGACAGGCTATTACAATGTTAGATACAGTGAAACAAAATGGAAGATTACTGCAAAAATGGATAAGAAGAGAAACAAAACAAGGACAATATCATAGGCACCGGGAAAAAAGGGAAAAAAAGAACGACTCAGCCATCTCAGGATTAGAAAGCTGTGTTTAAAGGAAATAAAACTGCCTTGTAGTGGAGAGGGGAAAGGCAGAAAACATTTTTTTTTTTTTTTTTGTCAGACTCATTTTGTAAAAATGGCCTTTTACACTATGTGGTGTGGTGAGTGTCAATAATCCTAAGAATTGGAGGGATGAGGCAGGATTTTGAACATGAGGTTGGTCTAGGCTACAAAGAAAGACTCGTTCAAAACACAAGAAAATAAAAATAACCTTTTATCAATGAAATCCAAGAATCAGGAATAAACTGTGCTATTTTCAACTTTATTATAAAATGATTTTCCTAGACATCAACCAATGCTCGACTCATAAAAATCAGCACGGGTGTGTGTGTGTGTGTGTGTGTGTGTGTGTGTGTGTGTGTGAATAAACTGTGCTATTTTCAACTTTATTATAAAATGATTTTCCTAGACATCAACCAATGCTCGACTCATAAAAATCAGCACGGGTGTGTGTGTGTGTGTGTGTGTGTGTGTGTGTGTGTGTGTGTGTGTGTGTGTGTGTGTGTTGTGGCTCAGAGGTTAAAAGCACTGGCTGCTGCTCTTGTAGATGGCCTAGGTCCATTTCTTAGCATCTACACAGCAGCTCACAACCTCCATTAGCTCCAATTCCAGGGGATCCAATGCCTCCTCTGGCTTCCTTGGGCAAAGGGCACACATGTGGTATGCTTACATATATGCAAACAAAACACTCATACACATAAAAAGTAAATGAGTAAGTCTTTAAAGATATGGACGGACACACAGCTGCATTCACCTATGTTTGTTAAATATTTACAAGTTTACTTTTATAACTTTAACTTTCAAGATCACCTTTCTTTCCAACTTAAAATATTGAACTTGGAGAGTCTGATCTTTACTCTTAGTAGTCCTTTTAAGAGGCTAATGGTCTACAAAAATCTCAAGCTCTGAGTCAACTATTAGCCTGTAAATAAAAACACCACGGTGCAAACAAGTAGTTGAAACCAACATGGACATCATGTGCTAAAATAACTAACACTATTATAAACAAAGGACTACTGCTTACCTGTAAGTATCCATAAATTAGGTAAAACACAAAAACTCCAGCAACACATATGAAAAACTGTGTGAGCTTGTTAAACTTGCTGAGGTTCATGCCCAGCACCACAATGTCATCAACTGACTTGATGTGTGGTGACATTGTCTGGGTTTTGGAGGGCACGGTGATGGAGACATACTTCCTGGAGTTGTTGAACTTGAGGTCCATTGTTTTCGCTTTGCCACATTCAAGGCCTGCAACCTTGTCTTTGCTGGTTTCCACAGTCAGGTTCTGTATTTCCTTTGCTGGCTCAGCCTAGAAAAGGGAATAAGCAGTTATGGTAAATTATAAAGTCTATGAAGTATCAGATTCAAATAACAATCCAAAGTACACCATAAAAAATACAGGCCCAGCTGAGTCTCTCTGGATATCAGCGTTACCTCCCACACCCCAAACACCAAATACAAGACTCCTCACTCCCCCATCCACCATTGGATAGCATCATATTCATCTCCATAGTAAACAAAACTAGGACTACACACGGTAGTATGCTTTTATCATCTAGTACATATCTAATTCTAATAAAATGTAAAATATTTTCAAGATGCTTAAGGGTTGACAACCATACAATCTAATTGCCTGTCAAGCTTTAAAACTAAAGCCAAACAGGTATGAGATTTAGCAACAGCATTCCTTAGGTTGAAAGAAAAAGCTGTATGTAGCCCAGGCTGGCTAGGAAGGGACAGCCTCCTGCCTTAATGTCTTGAGTACTACAGTTACAGAGAATGAGCCACCAACCGTGACGGAAAAGCCTTTCCTTCCTCGTGGAGAAAATGATTCAAATGAAAAGTCTTTGGAATGTAAAAGACAGAAAAATGGTTTGTTTTTTTTTTGTAAAAGTTGTGAAGGCACCACTGATAACTGTCAAGTTTCTCCTTGCATCTCCATAAGCTGAAAATGATGAATTCCATGTAAACACTAAGGGAAGTGCAGAAATCCTGACAGCACGCAGGAAGGAAGGATTATCTTCCTAGACTGTCTCCCTGTTGGCTCCAGCGACGTAAATCCTGACTCGGAGGCCAGGAGAGAACAATTCTGACTGGGGCTTCACTTAAAAAAACATCAGAAAAGAAACTGTCTTGTGAGCTTTTGAAATGACAAGAACTAGAGTCACCTCTCGGTGACTGTTCCTAGTTGGCTGAGCTGCAGACATTCAGGAGAGCTCATTAGTCACAGCAATGGGGGCAAGGTGCTGGGTACACAGCTATCAATATGCAGGCACCCAAACACCTATTTCGTGGGACATCCGCCTTATGTCTAAACCTTTAAAAGTACTTTTCTTGTTTGTGTTCCTTTTTCTTCACGCTTTTCTTCTTTATTCTGGCTTCCCTTGCTGTGTTTCAATCACCCTTATGTCCTTAAGATTTTTTTATGCCATGTTGTAGGACATCCTTGACATACGGTTTTTCATGATAAGCATGTTTAAACTGCCCTCCTCCCATTGTCCTGTGTTTCAATACTGAGGGAAAAAAATGCTCTGGTCTATTTCCTATGTTAGGCACAGCAACAGCACCCAGGGCACTATTTAAATAAACGTAGGTGCTGAGCTTCTCGTCCCTGATTTATTTCAATAAAAGGCCTAACCACTCAGCCATTCCTGAGAACAGAAGACTTCCAAGTGCCTCGTGTTCTGTTCATGGTGTCCTTTCTGCTTGGTGGTTTCTTTGGGTCATATTTAATTTCAGAGTTGATGGCCACTTCTTTGGGACACCTCTCAGAACCTTACCGGTCTCTGCATCTTGGTATCTGGCCTGGACTTTTTATGCACACCAGAAAACAAACTAATTGCCATGCCTACTACACATGCCTCCAACTCCAGTTCACATTCGTCTCACTCGGATACAGTTTTGAAAGGACCATGGTGTTGGCAAACTTGATCAGCAAAACTGAAAATCTACAATAGATAAGAACTGGGAGGAGAGTGCAGATGATATACTTAGGCACACATGCGCACAGAGAATGAGTCTTTTTTTTTTGTTTGTTTGTTTTTTTCAGACAGGGTTTCTCTCTAGCTTTGGAGCCTGTACTGGACTAGTTCTGTAGACCAGGCTGGCCTCGAATTCACAGAGATCCACCTGCCTCTGCCTCCCGAGTGCTGGGATTACAAGTGTGCGCCACCACCGCCCGGCGAGAATGAGTCTTATAAAATCAATTTTCTACTTTTACTGACCTTGGGATATTTCTCCAGAAGGCAACTCTTTCCCAGCATTGCCCTCTTCTGAAATGCTTATAGTTAAAAGCCAAGCACACAGTACCAATTCAACTACAGCGAACAGTACAAATAAGCAGTCCCCATGGTTTGGAACTTTGAGGTCTGAGCTATGATACAACCTGAGAAGTCTTGGGCAAAGTAATCTCTCTGCGTTTCAGGTTCTTTATCTCTACTGGGAAAAGTAAAATGTGCTGATTAAAGACTTTCTGTGGAATCTATGAGGTAAATGCGAAGTGCACGGCACACAGTATGACAATCCATGTACATTAGCTTTCATTATTCTTTTCAAAAACATTGCTGAAGTGAGCTGAAGCTGATTCACCTTCCTGACATGAAGTAGGAAACAGGGATCTGGCTGTCCCACCTAGCCTGCCCTACAAATGTCTCTTCCATCGCCCGCTGTAAGATGCCAAAGCACACTACAAAACCCCAAGACACTGAATCGAAGGACTCTCTTTTCTCTTGTAAACATGTGATCAACATTATTCTACTCCATTCTCTTCCATCACTTTATCACTCCCACACACTCCCAGCAGCCCTATGAGCTGCAGATCTAGGCTGCATGTGCAGGTAAATACCCTCAGCAATATCTTTTCTTAAATGTGTGCAACACACTACTCATCTCTCCTGAATTTCCCATGAAGCACTTGTGATGAACAAGGAAATGGATTCACTGTCACTGCTTAAATGATGCCTCACTACCACAAAACCTGCCCTTTAAAAGCCTGACACTTAATGTGCAGCTTGGCATGCCTGATCGGCACTGCACTGGTCAGAAAGCATGACTGATGAAGGCCTCTGTTACTCTCAAACTGTGACCCCTGATGTCTGCCCCTCATTTGTTTCTAATATTAATAATTGATATTGTTATCTAAAGAATCAGAACCATGGCTGGAGAGATGGCTCAGTGGTTAAGAATGTTTATTGTTCTTGCACAGGGTTCCCGGAACCCATGTTTGGAGGCTTGAAATTGCCTTCAGCTCGACCTCCAGGTAGGAATCAGACCCCTCTCATGCATACACCTACTTATGCATAGATGTACACACACACACACACACACATACATAAATCTAAAAAAAAAAAAAAGAACCTGGGACAAAATGTCAAACAAAAGTCCTTATGTTACAGGGGAAACACCTAAACTATGTATGGAATTTAACATCAGCCTAGGCTACAGAGATCTTGCCTCAAAATCAACAACAATGCCCCCCCCCCACCAAGAAACTCCAAACAAAAAGCTCAAGAACAGAATTAAAAGTAATCAAATAATTAATAACTTGCTTTGCTTTAGAAATTCTAAACAACCTCTGAAACTAAAGCAGAAAGAAATCATTAAAGTGGATCTCTGCCTTAAGTCTTTTCTTAAACTCAACAAACATTTAATTTCAGCACATTGAAGGTAGAAATAACAGTTAAAAGGGAATTAAAGGAAGTCCTTCCAGTTCTTAAAAAAAAAAAAAAAATCAGAAACAGGTGATGTTGACTTACAATGACATAATGAAATAAAAATTATCTGAGCTTACTTCTTTAAAAAACAAAACAAAGAAACAACCTGTGTGTATATGCCTCAGATTGCAGGAGGAGGTCAGAAGATATCTTGTGGGAAATTGGTTCTCTCCTTTCACTTTGTGGGTTCTGGGGACCAGGCTTGGGGCCAAGTGCTCTTGTGTGTTGACTCATCTCGCTGGCCCCAGCTTAGCTCTTAATCTAGTTCTGTTTCTAACATGAAAGATGAAAGCTCTCTATTATCAAAAGGTGGACTGTGAAGAAAGCCTCTCATGTGCATAGCGTGGGAAAGACCTAACTCCGCTCATAACTTGCCACACTCAGGTGACACTCTTGTCTTCATGTCTCGGTCACACTTTGGATAAATTACAGTGTGTGGAATAAGATCATAAAGCAGAAAACAAGATTTGATTTTGATTTCATCTATACTTCATCTCACAAAGTGTGAGAGACTGGTGATTTCTGAAACTCTTTCCCCCTCAAGGGCTAAAATTAGGATTTAATCTATACATTAAGCAGAAGGAATGCTATCTAAAATATTTTCAAATGCTAGCAAGTGTCTTTTTTCCCCCAAGTCTCAAACTATTTCAATTCACTTATAAGAAAAATATTAACTAAAATTCCAGATTCTGATAATCTACTGTAGAAGAAATAAAGATGTATTTTTTAATACAAAAAAAACTAAAAACAATAACAAAAAAAACCCCTCTTGTTGGCATACTAACAAAATTTTTCAGTGGTTTTTTTTCTTTCTTGTTTTTCTTATTGAAGGAAAAAAAAAACATACGAGGAAGAGAATGCAGTTGCAAAGCCGGAAAGAACACACAGGTTTCAGGGACATAAACTTAATAGCTCTTCAGGAACAGTCACTTCGTGGCAAGGCAAACAGGCGCGGGGTACCGGAGGACCGCACACAGACCCGGAAGTAGCTCTGAACTGCAAAAACAGTCTAGGGAATCCGGGAGACCATCCAAACCCTGACAGCGGGCTAGGGGAGTCCGGGCGGTGGTCTCGCGCCGGGAGGGGAGGATGCTCTTCCCGGAAGCGCTCGCCCCCGTTACCCCTAACCGGTCTGCGCACGCCCTGGCCCCCCAGACGGCGGCGTCCATCCACCTTCTTTGGCGACACTGTGTGGGCGCCCACCCCAGTCCTGCCTGACGGCCCCTGGCCGCGCGGCGAGACCCCTCCCAGCTCCGCCGCTGTCACCTCCTCCGCCTCCTGTCCTGCTCCTGCGCGGGCCACCGCGGCCGCCACCTCCCCGGAAGGTCTTCACACCGCCAGACCCCTCGCACCACTTCCGCCTATGGGTCTTTGTGCGCATGCACAGGCATGCGGCCCCGCCCCTTCGCCCGCCCTCTGGGCCGTACCTCTCGCGCATGCTCCTTGCTCTGAGGCTGAGCCAGGACCCGGGTTCTATCCATGTTTTGGGGTCCACGACCCAGGTGACTTCACATCCGTGGCCGTGAGCCGATATGTGTGAAGGAGGCCACATTCAGAATGTTCGAACCGGAAACAGCCTGAGGCTCCCTCTCCTCAGCCCGCGTCTTTTGATCCAAAGAAATGAGATCGCTTCTCAACGCCTTCCTTGTCCCAGGCTCTGGATTTCTGCTCTTCTGGACTAGATGGACTGAAGAAATGCCCAGGGGTCCCAAGTCACATGCCCTTTCAGTGACGATGGTTTGTAATTGTAAACGTTACCAGGATTGTATTGAAGAGGCCATTCACTGCTTGGAACATAAATCCCTACTTTGGGGTCTGACAAATATCAAAACATTTATGGTTTCCAAATATCAAATATTACCCCGCCCCCATTGAGAACTATACCTATAATTACTGAGATACAATGAAGAAAATGCCAAGATGGATTTGGGGACAAGAGTTTTTGTGACTACCATAACCGATGCAGTATTTAAGAGCCTGCTTTAGTAGGGAAAGGGGTGAATATAGTCAACAGAAACGTTAGAATCCAGTCCGTTACGAACAAGTTTTAAAATTTCACCAGAATTACACAGAGAAGCATTTGTGCCTTGGTTGTGGTGGTGGTGGGGGAGGTCCAGTTACGACATTTTTTTAAATGCCAGACTTGTTAGGCCAGTGTTGTATGAATGTTGAAACTTAAATTTTTTTTTTCCTAAAGAGAATAACAAAGCTCATCTAGTGATATCATTCTGTCACTCAGCAATAGCAAATAGAAGCAGTAAAGCCCTATTACTGTTAGCTACTGAAGCAACATAGTTATCAAGCACCTGTTGAATGGGCGTATGTGTAGGTAATATGCGTAATTTCTAAGTAGAGTTCCCCACCCTCAAGGAGTTACAGGGCACAGGTGAAAAGGTAAATGGTAATATAAACCTAGAATACGAGAGGTGTCAAGGTCCATCCACTTTGCCTGGGCAATCATAGTAGCCTAACAGGGTTCTCCACTTCCTTCTTATTTCTTTACAGCCTACTTCTGCTCAGCAGTGGGAATTAGCCTTTTAGGATCTGATGCTGTTTTGCTCACACCCCTTTAATGGCTTACCATCTCATTGAAATCCAACACCGTTCCATGGCTTACAACTTGTCTCGATGGGTCATATCCAAACACCATTTCAGAGTTCATCTAGCCCCTGTCAAGCACAACATGCCTCACACTTTGCATTTACTGTTCTTTTTGCATGGTACAGTGCCCTCAGATGTGTCCACTGGGGATGGAAATGAAGCAGTGCCAGATGTTACCGTGGAGTTAGGGATGATATTAGTGATAGGATTGCAGGTAAGAGCAGCCCTGCTCACCAATAGGAGCAAGGTGAATGCAGTTATGACCAGCCACAAAGCTAGAGCAGAAACCCAGTTACTGTTGCCTGTGGACTCATGAAAAATGCATGTTCTTAATGTGAAGACAGATGTGCAGTCTCAGCATGTTGATTACTTTGATTAACCACAAAACAAACAGAAGAACCAAGGAACGACTTCCCCCCAAATAACCTCATGCGCAAACTCTTCCCTTGAGGAAGAAACAGGTCCCTTGACTCTTGGTGAAGAACACTGTGTTACCACTGCAAGTACTTTCAGTAAGTGTTCAACTCCCAAGGCACTTGAAGCTATTTGCACAAGGTCTTATGCTGTGGAAAGCAAATTACTAAGTCATGAAGGGCCATTGGACACAGATCCTGAGTTGACACTGATGTTGAAGATCAAAGTGGAGGCCAAGTGGTGAAAGGCATGCTGGCCTGTCTCACAGGGATGTCCGTGAGGTCTGTGAAATCCTCCAGGGAATGAGTGATATTCACCTATTTAACAACTGAATCTCTGATCTTTGCTGACTGATTATGATAGGAAGGGGCAAGTGGAAGCCCTTGAAATTATCTACTTCTTAGGGCACAAGGTAGGAAATTAGATACTATTGCACCTACAGGGAATTTGAGAGATTTCATTACTAGGCAGACTTGAAAAATGTACAGAAAGTCTTCTCTCCTTCATGGTGAGGCTCTGACATCAGATGCTAATTTTACTTAAGAATTTCAGAGATAGCATTGCCAACAAAGACTTTAAAAATTTAGGGATGTTGATGTGTTTGTTTTGTCCTCTGCCATAGTTAGGTAAAGCCATGATGTGCATTTGGTGGGCTCTAGTCAACTTATCCAAGCAGTAGCTCCAATAGCAGCTGCTGTAAAATATGTGAGGTTTTACTAGAATGCAAATTTTATGTAGTTATTGAGATGGCAGATGCCCCATCAGTAAAGTGGAACAAAATCAGTTGGCTTCTCCGTGAAAATAATTGGAGTGCCATGCATTGACTGTCTCCAGGCTTGTAGAAACTATCTTGCTTCCAGTTATGATTCAGTCTTGCAGGATTGTGATTGATGTAAAGGGTTGCAGACTACCTTCTTGTTTTGCTCTAGTTTCGACATGCTAATCAGATCTAGAGAGGAGGTAAGAGCTATGTGTCTGAGGAAGATGTATATGTGAAGTAGGGTGGGAGACAAAACCTGTTTGGAGTCAGCCAATATTGGGGAAATCTAATTTGGAGAGCGTTTGTGACATAGTCTTACTTTGGTTTCTTCTTAACCAATGATTTGAGACAGAATTGTGTGGGTAGCAGAAGATAGATAAAGAGACCAACACAAAGAAGAATGCAATTCCAGAGTTCATTAGGGAAATTTTTGTCCTTTGAAGTGGGTGTAATTTCACCAGGACTGAAATTTCAAAGAATGGACTTCCTGTAAAGATCAATAGTTTGCCTTAAAGGAACTGATACCACTTTTGAGATGGATTTCCTCTGTTCACAGTTCCTCTGCCTGCACTCCAGTCTTGCAAATATAGTTTTCTGACAGATTGTTACTGACTGCAGGAAATACTCATGGCAAGATGGCACAATGGGGCATATGACTGAGGGATGCACTGAATCTGCAATATATTACCACCTGGAGGCCATCGGTCTAGTAGAGCGTTATGAGCACCAGCAACATTGCTTCACCAGGACCAAAGACCTCAACAGGATGGAGATGCATGTGGTGATATATTGTGTCTCCCAAAATATTGTGCACCCTAATAAAGCTTATCTGAGAATCAGAGGAAAAATATAGCCACTATATTAAACATAGAAGTCAGGCACACTCCTTTAATCCAAGTATTTGGGAGGCAGAGATCCATGTGGATCCTGTGAGTTCAAGGCCACAGTGGGGAACAGAGCCAGGCATGGTGGCACATGCCTTTAATCCCACCACTAACAACAGAAATTTAGAAGTCTGTACAGATAGACAGGAAGTGATGTAGCTAGGTGGAGAGAAGAAGTGAGATGCAGAACAAAAAGGCATATAGATGTGGGTATACAGGAAGTAGGTCTCTTTGGCTGAGGATTTCCAAGTGGTAAGAACATGGCTGGCTTCTTTCTGCTTTTCTGATCTTTCAGCTTTTACCCTCATATCTGGCTCCGGGCTTTTATTAAAAAGACCATTTAGCAATTCGTCTTACAAGTGCTATTGTCCAAGATACTTACAGAACCAATAACTTGTACTCTCTAATACCTAGAGTAGTTGGAGCCTGAGATCCAAAACTCAGAAAAGGTATTGGTCCTTCTCATTGTGAGTTCCAATGACTCAGTGAGAGAATTTATGTTTCCTGTTTCTCTGCTAGATTAGAAGTTCTGGTCTCCTTGGAACTAGAAATGAATCATACTGCCCCACAAGCACCTGGCCTGGATAGGTTAGAGGTCTCCAGACTCACCAACTCCCAAGCCCACTTTTCTCCCTGTGAGCATCCCACCTGGACAAGTTAGACATCTCTGCTCTACATTCTACTGACCTCTGTTCACTGCAGGTGGCCAGGCTAGAGTTCTTTATCCTTCCTCTGCACAATTCCACTGCCCTCCACTTGCCCCAGGCAAACAGGTTAAAAGACCATGGACCTCCCACTTCCTATACACACTTCTGCCACTCTGTGCTTGCCCTGACTAGATGAGTTAGTCTTTCCAACCCTCTTGTCTTCTGTGCATTTCTACCTCTCAGCATCCTCATCCTGGTCATGCATGTTAGAGATTTCAGGGTCTCCAGCCCCAACCACAGTTTCCTCCACCCCATGCCTACCCTGGCCGGGGAAGCCAGAAGAAAGACACTTCCTCTCCTTCCAGAGCACACCACTGCCACTGCGCGTATGCCCCAACTGAGCAAATGAGGAGACACAAAACCCATCCACTACTGGCTCACATGAACTACACTCTTCCTGGCTCACAAAGTTAGAGGAAGCATGATCCCCAGTCCCTACACACATTCCTACAACACCTTATGAACTGTACACCTTGAGGTCAGAGGATGCATGCCACCCCCACTGTTGTTTTTATCTAGGTTGTTCTATTTACCAGTAAAGAGTCAGGAGTCAGATGTTGGGGTGAAAGTCTGCTAGATCAGAGAAGCCAAGAAGCAACCAACTGACCTTCCTTTTTGGCTGGAGACCCAGGAAGAGATCATCTCTGCATCTGTCCCAAACCAAAGATGCCTGTGAATCTCTAAGTCCCCCTCCACTCCTCCCCGTGCTTCTCGCCATCCATCTTCCTGAACTCTGTGTAGCTAATGCGTGTCAACTAGTCGCTGGCTCCACTCCATAATCCTAGGTTAATTTTATTAACACAGTCTCAGAGCTTCACAGTGCAATCAAGTATCCCACAACACCTCACATGCTCACTGCAGTGATCATGGCTTATGAATTCACAGGCCATGTCTCCCTAAGTAAGACAAGATCACCCAGAGTTGCTCCATCCATGGATCAACCCCAGGTCTCTTCAGTGACACTTAGTCAAGCTAAGATCCCCAGAGCAAAGAAATACCAAGCACACC